GGGGGGGGGGGGGGGGCAGGAAGAGACTGAACAAAAATCGTACACCTATGGATGAGAACAGTGGGGGGGGCGTAAGGGTAGAGGGTGGGAACCAGGTGGAGGGGAGCTATGGGGGGGGGGGAAGAGGAATATCTGTAATAATCTGAACAATAAGGATTTATTAATTTTAAAAAATTAAATTAAATTTAAAAAATGAAGAATAGAAGTTCTATTATTTTATTTCCATGCAACGAATAGGTTTGTCATTTGTATATTCCATCACTTTGGAATCTATTGGACTGAGCACAATCTGAACAATAAGGATTTATTAATTTTAAAAAATTAAATTAAATTTAAAAAAATATGAATAGAAGTTCTATTATTTTATTTCCATGCAACGAATAGGTTTGTCATTTGTATATTCCATCACTTTGGAATCTATTGGCTAACTGAGCACATTATCATGGGGGCCTATCATTAAACTATGAATCCCCAGAATAGCTATTTTACAAATTAATAATATAAACTAATCATATTTGAGTTGCTTGAACATAAGGACTATCTGAATGGTGTCTTACATCAGAGAAAATGAAGAAATAAAATAGGTATACATTGAGTAATCTTCATTGATCCAACATTGATGATTGACTTCTTAAATTTCCAAAAATAGCAATTTGATATTTTACAGACTAAATAAACTAATAAAAAGCTTATGAGGTTTTGTATAGATGTACTTTATATAGTATTTATGAAAATGAACCCCAGATCAATTAGCTCTGGTACCATATCAGAAATATAAACATACTTACTTTGTAAATAAGAAAGCATAAAATAGGTTTTTCTGACCGTTTGCTTGAAAACTCTTTGCATATTAGCCTTTTATATATATAGATATACTTCATGCCACTCCCTTCTGGCCTGATGTGTTTCTATTGAGAAATCAGTTGGTAGTCTATTGGGAGTTCCCTTGTAGGTAACTTTCTGTCTCTTTCTTACAGCCTTTAAGATTCTTTCTTTGTCTTTAATGTTTGCCATTTCAATTATGATGTGTCTTGGTGTGGGTATTTTTTGGGTTCATCTTGATTGGGACTCTGCTTCCTGGACTTGTATGACTTTTTTCTTCCCCAAGTCAGGGAAGTTTTCTGTCATTGTTTCTTCAAACAGTTTTTCTATTCCTTGCTCAGTTTCTTTTCCTTCTGGCACCCCTATTATGCAGATGTTGTTTCATTTCATATTGTCCCATAGCTCCCTTAAATTCTCCTCCTGCTTTTTAATTTTTTTCCCAATTACTGCTCTGAATGGATTTTTTTTTCTACCTTGTCTTCTAACTTGTTGATTATTTCCTCAGCTTCTTCTGGTCTACTGTTGAATCCTTCCAGGGTATTCTTCATTTCCTCTGGATTCTTATTCATGGTGTACTTCTCATTCAGCTCCCTTTAATTCTCATTAAGTTGCTTGTAATTCTCACTCAGATGTTTGCATATCCTTATAACCATTACTTTAAATTCTTTATCTGACAAATTACTTGCCTCTGTTTCATTTAGTTCCTTTTTGTGGCAATTCATCCTTTTCTTTCATTTGGGGGTTATTTCCTTGTTTTCCCATTTTAGCAGTCCAGTAGTCTGGAGAGCTGGGCGAGGCGGGTGGGTTTATCATGTTGTTCCATGTGTTCAGAGGTGACTGGTCCCACCAGATCCCAGCGATGTGTCTGATCTTCTGATGGCACCAGGTTAGGCGTGTCCAGTCTCTGTGGCAGGTCCCTGCATCTGGTATGCCTCAGGACACATCTACTGGGCAGTGTCAGACAGCAGAGCCATTTTCCCAGGGGCACCACATATGACACAGTGGGTCACAGTGGCAGGTCCCTGCATCTGGGGGCATTTGGGTCACCCTGGCAGAGCTGGGTGCACCACGTTAAGGTGGTAGGACCAGTCGTCCAGGGGCACTGGGTCAGGTGTGCTGGTTTAGGGTGGCAGGTCCCTGTATCCAGCCTGGGCACGTGTCAGGGTGGTGGGATGGGCTGGGTGCTGCTCTGCTTGTGCAGGGGTCAGGCCAGGAGCCCCCCTTGCCTCTATGGTAGGGTGGACTGGTTCCTCTGCTCACAGAGGGCAGATTCAGGCTGAGCACCCTGATGCTGAGGAGGTGGGACAATCTTTCTCTCCCCTGTGGAAGAGGTGGCCGCCCAGTTGCTGACTCTGCTCACTGAGGTGTTGGAGCAAGCTGGGCACTCTGCTGCTGAGGAGTTGGGTCGAGTGCCCCATTAGGAAAAATGGCAGGGCCTGCCTGTCGCTCTGCCATGGAGGAGGTTGGGCAGGTTGGGTGTTCCGTTCACCAGGAGCAGGCCCTGCACACTGCCAATAAAGTCAGCCAGCCAGTCCTTCACAGTTCAGGCTAACTGAGCTGGTATGACTGGTAGGTGTGCCTGGAGCTTTGGGGCTCAGCAGTGGCCTAGGTTCACTCCCCGCAGCCTCCTCCCATGGAGGACCCTGCGGCTCCCTCAAAATGGCAGGCTTCCCCTGAAGTGGAGAGAGGTGCTGGGCCAGCAGCACACTGCTTCTCCTGCCTGAAGCACCCCAGTTGCCTCCCTAAGCTCCCACTCCCACAAACAGATGCCCTCCCACTCTCACACCCACACACACTCTCCCTCTCCCACACTCACCCACTTTCATACTCACCCTCACTCCAGACCTGCCTGCCACCATGTTCCTATCTTTCACCAACTGTTTTTATAAATAAAGTGTTATTGGAACACGACCACACCCATTCATTTACATATTACCAATGGTTGTCTTCACCAAACAACATAGAGTTGAACAGTTATGACAGAGCTCATATGGCCAATAAAGCTCTAAATATTTAATATCTGGCCCTTTACAGAAAAAGTACGCTGTCTGCTATCTGAGGATGTTGCAGTTGAGGGAATGCCTTTGTTCTCTAAGGACATGACTTGGAAATTGTACACGTCACTTCAGTTCATGTACTTTCAATTAGGACTTATTCTCATGACCACACCTTGCTGGAAAGATGGCTAGGTAATGCACTCTGTCTAGGCAGCATGTACTCAGCTAACATTTGGGCACCAAAAGCAGGAGAATAGATATTGGAGTTGATTAGTACTTTCTACCTCAGCATTCTGTTTATAGCTAATTGTGATTATTGGCTGAACATCTACTGCAAACACTTCAAAGGAAAGTGGTAGACAAGTTTCTGTTTTCCAATGCAAGCGACAGCAGATGAATACATTTCTATATGTTACTTTAAAAATTAAGATTTGATTTTGGCAAGAAAAACGGTAAGGATAAAAGTTAAATGTTCAAAGTCATGAAAATTATGAAGAGATCAGTACTCTACCACATCCTAATGTCTTAGAAGGGCAACCTTAAAACTTGAAAGAGGCCTGAACTGCAGTGGTGAGTGAGAGTGATTGGCTGATAATAGTCTGAATGACTAAGCACATTGCCAGGCTGTTGGAGAGCAGAACTGGGCCAGAGGAGATTTGCCACACGTTGGTCTGGTAGATTATTTGGGGCCACAGCCACGAATCTGAAAGCAGAAGGAAGAGCAGAGCTGAGTCATGCCAGGAGCATTTGTCCTAATGAAGTTAGTACTTTAACTAGAGCCAAAAAGGAAGTCTGAGTTAGGGGCTAGGGGTGCAGAACACTGAAATGGGGTAGCTAATGCTGATTGTTTAGAAAGCATTATCTTTACAGCTAGTATATGAACATTTAGTGTTTCTACCTACCCCAAATTCACTCCTGCTTTTGATACTGTTCCATTTTCTCTCAAGAGAACTCCCTCCTCCTACTCAGTCCACATGCTTTATACCTAGTCCTCCCAAATCAAATTACTGCATTCCTTTGGGATAATGATTAACCCAGAGATAGGTACATAGTCTACACAGATTCGAGGACTTCATACGGCTCTGAGAGGAAAGCAAGTACTCTTTGTCACTGTTTTTGAACTTGGGAGGATATGAAAAAATGCCTGTTGTGGCCATCAAAGATATTCTGTTCAAGGATTGAGCCCAGGAGGAGTGGTTGATAGACATAGAGAACCAGGTTCTGGGATTTTACTTGCAGAATTGAGTCCAGCTGTGCCTGAAGCCAACACTACCCCTAGAATTTTGTTAATGTCACAAACCAATAGACGTTCTTTCATTTAAACCCTGGTAGATTGAATTTTCTCCCACATTCAACAGAAAAATATTTAATACTGCTAACCACTTTAACTACATTATATCATTTAATTTCAAAGCACTTGTGTGTCATAGGTATTATTATTCTCATTCTAAATGAGGTAAATAAAACTTAGAAAAATTTGGTACCTTGCACAGATGCACAGCTCACTGAACAAAGTTTTAAGGTCGTATCTAGTTACAAACACCCCCCACAATGTAGTAAAAGCCCTTTGACTTATGTAATCTGCATATAAATAATCAATTAACAAAAAAAATCAAGTGGATAATTAATTTAAAATAATATGCACATATCTCACATTTTCACTTAAAACACAAATGTTTATTTGTTTGCCAATCTTTTCTGTAGGTTCAAGGTATTCATTTGAGTGTGTGACTGATGATTAGAGTTTCATGTCATCTTTCTTGCATGAACCATGCCAGGCTTCATGAAAAACTTTTAGGTATTTTTTTTCTTCAAAGGAGAACTTTAAGATACTTTCAAAGCAATTTGAATGCAGAACCCAATATTTTTTCTTCCAGTAGTTTACAGTTCCTTGCCCATATTTAAATCAATAGCAAATGTTGTTGTTTTTTGCATTAATTATTTGGTTTACATACTTACTTAAATTAGTTAATTACAAAAACTAATATACTTGGCATTGGCATAACCAGATGTATTAGTGAAACCAGACAACCAATGGGTCCGAGCTGCCTGTCATTACTTGAGCCAATTAAGCAAAGACAGGGTCGAATCATATATGAGTGTTTATTCCAATAATGCCAACAGTATGGGAAAGCAGTAGGTCATCCACAAAAATCTGCTCTACCCTTCCCCATAAACCAGCTGCTTACATTGGGTAGAAGGACGAAGATTACATGGAAAAGTGGGAATTGTAGGCATGGGGAAGTAGGCAGGGTGGTTACAGGTTATAGGCAATGCAGGTGCGGGTAGTAAAAGGCGGGCAAAGAGTAGGCACCTCCGGGATCAGATTATTTTGACCACATGGTTGTTAATCTTTCCATGATGACAGGCAGTTCTTGGAAAAGGAAGATGGACTGCATTCCGATGTTAGCTCCCATGTCCCGAGGCACACAACTCGCAGCCAGGTTAGAAAGTGCTTCTCTAATCAGAACAGAACAATCATGGTTAACAGAGTATGATGAATACTTCTTATAATTATAGCTCGTCCCCACTGTTCTCTTTCTGCCCCTGACATTAGTTTTGTGTGGATGCCATAACAAAGTACCACAAACTGAGTGGCTTGGAAAAACAAATTTACTGATTCATAGTTATGGCTAGAAGTCTGAAATCAAGGTATCATCAGGGCCACGTTCACCATAAAACTTGTAGAGGAAGTATTTTTCCTTGTCTCCTACTAGCTTCAGATAGTTTGCCAGAAATCTTTGGTGTTCCTTGGCTTGTAGCTGCAGCACTTTAACTCTCTGTCTTTATATGTTTGTCTTCCCGTCTGTTCAATTATTTTTCCTATAAGAACTCCAGTGATACTTTATTAGAGTCTACTCTAATTAATACCACTGTAATTAATCTAGTTATTAATAACAGGAAAGGAGCAAAGAAAAGGTCAAATATTATAAACATATTATGTAGCCAGCTCCACCAGGAAGCTAAAGCTTTACACTCCCCCAGGAGCTACTGCTCTGTTCCCCGCAGATCCCTGGGGCAAGGGACTGGACAGGGAGGAGAACAGAGGCATGCCCAGTGAAGCTGGGGTGACCTCAGGAAGGCACTTGTCTGTCAGCCATACCTGGGAACAGGTTTTTGGCCAGAATGGGTGTGGCCACCTCAAGGGCATGGATTTGGGGATATCTAATCCTCTAAACCATGGGTGGGGAAACTTTTTTCTGCCAAGGGCCATTTGGATATTTATAATATCATTCGAGGGTTATGCAAAATTATCAACTTAAAAATTAGCCTGCTATATTTGGTCAAACATTTAATTAACTCACCCCTAATGCCATGGTAGGGCCACACGAAATGATTTCGAGGGCCAGACATTCCCCATCCCTGCAAACAAAGGAGTTCACTCTCTTGGTTCCTCTTATGCTCTTGGGACTTTTATTGTTTGGGGTGCTCTCTCCTGTATCTGCTCACATGGCCCATGACCATGTGGACCCCACACACAATGGACTAACAGACTGCAGCTGGCCTGATGCTGAACTGGACCCGGCTCCAACATGCAAAGGAAACTCTGGACACTAGCTTTGTTTCTGGCTCTACTGAAACCCCAGCTACATTCTTCTATGACTGGACAAAGGGATATGGGACTTTGGAAACCCAGGGGTGTAATTTCATGAAAATAAAGCTTTCTACTGTATCTCATCATCCTATAGGGGCCTCTGAAAATGCTTATTCCAGTGGTACCCCAAGAACCTCACTCCCTCTCACAGGGATGGAAAGGTAAATGATGAGCAGATAGCTGAACCATTTTTCTGGGTAGGCAACTAACTTAAAATAGCCTATTAGATCACTGTGGGGTTTTTTTTATTTTGTTTTTTATTAAAAGAAGGTTGGTTTTCCTAAGCAGTATTACCTTGGAAGTTAGGAGTCTCTCCAAATTTTAAAGGGATCCAGGTGCAGCTCTCTCAGAATGCAAGGATGCTTTCCTGTATAAGAGAATGTGGTAATCCATTTTCAGCTGTGTGCCCCTCACATTCAAAATTTTAGAATATGTAGATATGTTTCTGATGTCCTCAAACTTCTCTGTGTCTATAGACAATGTCACATTTACTCATCTTTTTTTTTTTTCTTTGAGCTGATCACTCCTACCTACAGGATATTGTGCAGTGCCCCTTCTTCAGGTAGTGCCACAGAGAGGTTCCTAGACAGGGCAATGCATGCTGGATACTGCAGTCTCCTTATTCCATTAGAGATGATTCCTAAACTACAACACTGTCAAAGCACTGACATCTAGAAATGTTTATTTAACACATTTCCCTAATGCCCTGCACCAGTGCTCATAGTATGTGTTCAATAAATATTTGTAGAATGGTGAACTTTATTTTGCTCTTAGGTGGCAGAGAGAATAGTACCTGCTAACCATTCTATGTGGTCGCCTATATTTTTCAACCCTGTCCTGAAGTTCGATGGAGCCACAGGACTAATTCTAACGCACAGTGATAAAGCCTTAAAACTGCACTCAGATGTCCTTGTGGAAAGGAGCTGGAGCTTGATCTGCTCTAAAATGAAGTTATCATGGTGGGGCTAAGGCTACAGGAACTTTTCTTTAAATTGAGAATGACATAGAGAAATATAAAATTGAGTAATTTAAATAGAAGTTTTCCATCTTTAACCACTGGGTCATGTGATTCTGCATTTGGAAAGGACCTAGAGGTAGGAGTCATCATCTCTGAGTCTTAAAAATCAAATAGGTCTTGGCATTTGGATGGAACAAAATGCAGGAAAAAAATGCCTGTCAATTAAAAACTTTCTACAGTAAAGCAAAATGAATTTATAAGCAACTTATTGATTCTGTGAAGGAGGGAGATCCTAAAAGCATTCTGACTGGCAAGGGATGTAAATGAGATGTAATTGAACAGTTTCTATTAATTTTGCTCTAAAAATTTTCACACTCTTAGGAGATGACCACCATAGAGGACCTCTCTCCAGCCTGCCTTAGGCACATTCACTATGATTTCTCCCTCAATCCCTACAAACCTAACTGCCACCTTTAGCTTCTTGCTGAGGGGATCCCTTTGATCTCCCATAGAGTTATTGGGCTGGAGCTAAAAGGACTGTATCTCCTGCCTGGCACACATCTGATCCATGCAAACACAAATGCCACCCTGTGTGTGTGCTGATCAACTATTATAAAGAGTAAATAGAGGGATCACACCTCAACATATAAAGCCCATACATGACAAACCCACAGCCAACATCATACTCACTGGGCAAAAATTAAAAACATTCCTCATAAGAATAGGAACAACATAGGGATGTCTGCTTTCACCAATCTTATTCAACACTAGAGGCCCGGTGCACGAATTTGTGCACCAGTGGGGTCCCTCAGCCTGGCCTGCTGGGATTGGGCTGAAACCTGCTCTCCAACATTTCCTGAGGGATCCTGGATTTCGAGAGGGTGCAGGAAAGGCCAAGGGACCCCACCAGGGGGCCAGAAAGGAACCATGGAAGGGCTCCAGGGCGTGTCTGGCCCCATCTCTCCCAGTCCCAATTGGGGCAATCGGGGCTGACAGGGAGGGATGCAGGAGGTTGGCCAGCTGGGGAGGGGCTGCAGGAGCGCTCCAGGACGTGTCCAGCCTGTCTCGCTAAGTCCTGATCAGCCCAACCCAAGCAGCAAGCTAACCTACCAGTCAACTGTCTGCCCCCTGGTGGTCCATGCACATCATAGCGAGTGGTTGAGCAGCTTTAGCATATCATTAGCATATTACGCTTTGATTGGTTGAATGGTGGACCAGTCTACTGGACAACCACATGACCGGACACTTAGCATATTAGGCTTTTATTATAGAGGATAGTACTGGAAGTCTTAGCCACAGTGATCAGTCAAGAAGAAAAAATAAAAGGCACCCAAATTGGAAAAGAGGATGTAAAACTGTCATTATTTGTAGATGACATATTGTACATAGAAAACCCTTAAGATGCCACCAAAACACTACTAAGTTTAATAAATGAATTCTACAATGTAGCAGGATGCAAAATTAACATTTAGAAATGAAATTGATATTTTTATACACTAATAATGAACTCTCAGAAGGTGAAACTAAGAAAACAAACCTATTTGCCATCACAACGACAATAAAAAAACAATAACTTGGAAAAAACTTAACCCAAGAGATAAACAACCTGTACTCAGAAAACTGTAAGGCACTGAAAAAAGAAATAGAGGAAGGTATAAACAAATGGAAGAGTATACTGTGTTCATAATTAGAAGAATTAACATTATTAAAATGGCCATACTATCCAAAGCAATCTATAAATTCAACTATAAATTCAATCTATAAATTCAGCAACTCCCATTAAAGTATCAACAGCATATTTCACAGATCTAGAACAAATACTCCAAAAATGTATATGGAACCCAAAGAGACCCTGAAGCCGAAGCAATCTTGAGAAAGAAGAATAAAGTAGGAGGGAGTACAATACCAGATATCAAATTATACTACAAAGCCATTCTAATCAAAACAGCCTGGCATTAGAACAGGCATATGTGTCAATGGGACAAAACAGAGAACTCAGAAATTGACCCAAGCCATTATACTCAATTAATATTTGACAAAGGAGGCAAGAACATACAATGGAATAAAGACAATCTCTTCAATAAATGGTGTTGGGAAAATTCGATAAATATATGCAAAAAGAAAAATAAAATGAAACCACCAACTTACACCATACAGAAGATTAAGCTCAAAATGGATTAAAAAAAAAAAACCCAAAACTTAAATGTAAGTCGTGAAAAATTTTTTTTAAATCTATTTTATTGATTTTTCATAGAGAGGAAGGGAGAGAGATAGAGAGTCAGAAACATCGATGAGAGAGAAACATCAATCAGCTGCCTCCTGCACATCCCCCACTGGGGATGCGCCCGCAACCCAGGTACATGCCCTTGACTGGAATCGAACCCGGGACCCCTCAGTCC